TTTTGAAACTTATTTTACAATTTTTACTATTTATGTAATTTGTTCCATTTTTGTTGCATTTTATAATGCATTTTTTTGAAATTTTATAAAGTACATTAAATTTACAGTTCTAATTACTATGGGTATGTTTTAATTATTATTGTAAGATGCACAACGTTTTATAGGAGCCGTTTCTTTTAATGATTCAACACGCTAAACCGGTAAATCATCGTTAAAACCGGATATTTTACTATACAGGAGGAAGCGTTGTGGATATTAAATGAGGAATATTGATTTGACAAACTATTAGAAAATATATGTCGACTCGAAAACATACCAAGTCATTGAAAAAAAAAAATACGTTTACTTAAATGCTAAAAAAATTGAGTTTGTTGCATACAATATATATGTGCGTATATATATACTATTTCAACAAGGAATGTTATATATTATTTTTTCTGAACGATCAAAAATTTGTGTTATTTATGAGGAAGTAGGAAATACATACTTTTAAAGAACCGCTGAATCGTCAAACTCGAAATATACATTTGTTAACTAAAATTATACGATGATGTTTGAAATTTCAATTTTTCATAACCAAAAAGTAATTATACATAGAAAATCCAAAAAAATACAACGTTTAAATCATATAAAATTTTTCCTACATGTAGTAAATACCTAATTAACATAGAAATAAAACTGCTATTTCGATCAGCATAAATAAATTTCGACAATCCTATTATATAACACGATGATATTCTATACAATGTATAATCTATTTAAGTGTCAAAACTTATTATTTCGAAGAGTTTTAACTTCTTTGAAAATATTATATTTATATAATTTGTATCATTACAGAAGATCATATGAAAAAATTAAAATGTATTATTTATTTGAATGAGAACATACATTTTTAATTTCATATCCGCGGAGCAAAATAATTTTTAGAATATTTCAATACACAAAAATTGAATTATGAACGGGTAATTAATAAATTGAAAATATTTAATGTTTAAATGAGCAGAGTAACTGAAATTTGTGTTTCATTTTTTGAAAAATTTTGTTTTGCATTAAATTATACATAGGCAAAAAAAAAGTATAAAACTTTTCGAAATAACGAGTGTAGATACTTAAGTATATCACTATATTACAAACGTATACTGAGATAACGAAGATAGTGTAATAGTGTGACTTACTTTGGCGCCGATCTGGTTTCCGCATTGTCCGGCTTGCAAATGCACGATTTCCCTCATGTTGATATAATTTTCTGTTCAAGTTTACAAAGTTATTTGCAAAAACTGTGTATGTGTTAACTATTGGCTGCTGCTACCGTTAACTTCTTTTGGACTTCCGACAAGATGAGGAGTGCACCGAAGAATGGAGCCCTCGAACCGCGTTACACTACTTCGTCAGCCGAACGCTTAGACGGTTTCCCCTACCACCGAGTGCGCGCGCGGCCCATACTCCGTGGTAACACTATATATTATTTTTGTTTTTACAATGTATATATTATTATATATATTTACACATACACACAATTTATATTTATATTTTACGTATATTATAAGGATAATAGAAATTGCTGGTCGTGAAGAATATGTAAGGCGAACCCATCCCTCCTCGTGCATCATCGTATATACATATTATATGTCTACTACGGTGATGCACGTGGCTTCTCATCCACTTGATTTGCATGTAAGTAAATGCATGCTGCGGCAGCGGTTTAAAGCTATGCAATTGATGTCATGATATTATATACATTAAATATATATACGTATACTTTAGACCAGCGATTCTCAACCTTTTAACATCCAAATACCACCTACACATCTTGAAAATTTTCACGTACCATTTAATTTATAAAACTCTATTTTATCATTTTGCTTATAAAAAAACTTATAGAATATTAAAATGTATTAAACAAAAGTAAAATTAAGTATGTACAATTTGTTAAAACATAAATCGACCAAGCATTACAACATTATAGAGATTATCGTTTATCTAAATTTTTATCTTTAACGTGAGTAAGACCGGCTATTTGGTTTAGTAATCAAATAAACGAAATAATATTTTATTTTATGATGAATATTTATTTTTCATTCAAGTACCACCTTTGAGCTTTCTACGTACTATTTGTGGTACACGTACCATAGGTTGAGAACGCTGCTTTAGACGTTTTTAGACGATATCAACTGATAAGGTTTATTTTTATTTTTTAGTCATGATAACACGTCATGTTATTACATATTATCAGCAAAATGAATAGTCCAATACGATAATCCACCGATACAAAGGTCAAATTATAAGTCATTCTTTCCGTTGCCTGCCTATACAAATTGCAAGACGTGTCATCTTATAAATGATTATCGCGGTGTTTTTCTATAAAGCTAATGGAGAAAAACAACTGAGGGGCCAAAGATTATTTTTTGACACTGAAGCCACCCCATCGGTAATTATAATATAATATACACATTTTTGAGCGAGAGTCGTAATCGCCTACTGCCTAGTTATTATCGGAAATAAATAATACGTATACACGACACGTCACCCGTTACTGCAACCTCCTTGGTGCGAATTTCGTCGGCTATATACTAACACGATGTATATAGGTACATGACAATATGTATATAACTGCAGCAGTGGCAGCTGTGTTAGTTGCAGACACAAAAAGGCGTTCCGATGCACCGTGTGAATAAACTTATGAAAATAAAATACAACCAAACCGCCTCGGGTTTTGATTTCATTGTTCACCGGAACGTGAAACGTGCGTCATCGACTATGAGAAATATTATTATTATATTATAAATAGGTACCGCGAACCGCGGCGCGTGTATTACGATGACTTTTCTAAAGTATAATCAGTCGTCGACTGCGCCAATCGAAGGAGCACTAACAATGTCGGCCGGCGTTTGATGAGAATACGCGATAATGCTAGCAAAGCTTTAAAATATGAGGAGTGACTGTTTCGCGATTCGTGTTAAAATTTGTCTTTTTTGGCGCCGCGATTGTCGAACACGACGACCACACGCGCGTCGTCATACCTCACGTGGTACATTATAATATGCAGGCCCAAAATATGGGTATCATACCCACTACCCGCGGCTGTTGTACGGTTCGCGTACTGTATGCGTGATAAGTATAATAACACGAAAATCGTGCAAGAAAACGTCAGACTCACGAAGTTCCGTTGGCGGACGGGGAAGATCTATATACAACGAGGATCTATACGGACGGCCGTGTATATCATAATAGAATAATATCACTACAAAACTATATGTATAGGTATATTATGTTGTGTAGTGTGTACAGTGCGTTTCAAGACTTGGCCCCGAGTCGGACGTGCGGTCGTGGTATCCTGAAGGCTGTGGCTAAAAAAAAATATTTGTTGCGCAGTGATACAGAACGTTGTTATATATTGTGACCGGATGATTAATGCACATATTATTTATATATATATATATATATATATATAAATGTAAAGAGAGAGAGAGGGAGATGTAATATGAAAACAGAAATTGTCAACAAAATGAGGAAACCGTCATCGTAGCAGGGTCATTCGACCAAATTATATATCCTGTTTCGGGAATAAAAACGATGTCGAGTTTATACAAAAACGATTGAATAGATATAGGTATATACTAAGGTATTTTACCTGTATATATATATATATTATGTACGTGGGTGAACGCATACCCGTGTACAAAAATACATAATATAATCGTCGCACTACTTATCCAGTCGACCGCGCCGATAACTGTAAGGGAAACATCGACTTTCTAGTTTTCTGATGTCGACGATTTATATAATAATTGGAATACATTTTTACTATCATCATTATTATTATAAAGAATACATAGCAATTTGTTTGTATAATAAACTGCAAAAGACAATTAAACAATGACCCGATGATACTTTTTTTTCTACCACTATAATAAAAAAAAATACGATACACATCACATGACGTTTTAATAATAAAAATAATTGTCTTACCCGTATAGAGTTACGTTGACGTTGCAATTCTGCAGCAGCTGTGTATTATTGTTGTTAAAATGCACAGTACATAGAAAATTGAATAATTTAACATTGACGCGCAGTGGAGTCGTCAGAAAATACCTGACCACAGGAGATTTCAAATTGACCGATGAATAAGGCAAATGTATTCTTATTATATTATATTCAAACATTTTTGAAACTAAGATAATTTCAAAATGGAATCGACGGTCTTTGCATGAAATGGCTTTAGATGGTTTTAATTTTATTTTTACTTTGTACAAATAGGATATTTTTATCAAATGTTGTTATACACAACACTTCGGAATTCTGCGTTCTATATAATTTTTTTCATAATCGATTAAACCACTCAAACAAAAAAATTTGTTTGAGGCAATGCGCATGCAGTTTTTTGTTTTTGTGCAGAGAATATTATGTCAATCGTCAGTTTTTATTGTATTATAGTCACACAGCCCTATAGCTAATTATATTAGGTATATTATTTAATAATATAATTGCAAGGTTTGTAACGACCTCATCGTATGACCGACATCGTTATATGAGTTTATGATTGTGATTATAAAAATGGACTACAATATAGAGTTACGCCGGTGGATGACGGATTAAAATCATAGTATACGAATGATGTCACCTGCAATTGCAGATAATAATATCATCAACTGTGTCAAAAAAAAAAAAAAAAAAGAAAAAACGTAGTTTCAATGAGAATTTCACGCGTGGACCACGACCAACCAAGAGACTAAGTCCCAAGTGCATGTCAAAAATTGACACGAATTACAATTTAACGGTCGATCCGGTCTTACGCGTAGAATAAATTATGGCACCGGTTCGCAAGACATCGTTCTATATCAGGTGTTTTACATATTTACCTTCCATATTATTATTAAAACACTGTTTGTACATGCACGTGTTATATCGTTTTACTTATATTATGCATGCAGAGGACACGTCAGCGTTATTCGGTTACCATACACGATACACCTTTACGTTATAATATAATATATCGTCATTATATTATATTGTTTATCCGGGCACCTTGCACAGCCAATGACACGGTATTGGAAGGAAGACCCTGCTATGTCGGATCAGACGGCCTGCAGGGGAATACGCACGACAACAGGATGTGGAGAAAAAATTGCGGTAATCAGGGGTCGTAAATGCACTGTACTTGCAATATTACGGTAGGTATAATATTGTTAATTTTAACAGGTCCACATAATGCGTAGATAATTATTAATTATGCTCTTATATCTATACCATGTAATACACATAATATGTATATATTATGTTATTATGTCCTTGATTTGTATCAAAACTTTACATTTTCATTTGGTCGTTGACCGCGGATTCGGAATATTATAGTCGTGTAGCTGTTAATAGACATTTATAAAGTTTTAAATTTAAAATAAACATCATAATAATATTATATTATTATTGTTAAAATTAGAACTTTGAGGAACGCTTATAAAAAAAAAATGTGTCTATGTAGTATGTACCAACGAGTATTTTTAATATTTGTAGTAATAATTTGCGAGAAACCTCGAATTATGTATTCTTATCATGGTTTCTGACTTACAAATTATCAACGTAAATCGGAAAAGCTTAAAAAAAAAATCCAAAAAAAAATTATCAATATAAAATCAACGGAATTAAAAATATTTAAATTTGTATGAATTTTTAATAATACAAAAATAAACCAAAACAATAAATGCGGGCAATATGCAGCCAATAAAATTCATAATTTTATATAGTGGGTAATATAATATACTATTTCATATTACTTGTTATATAACAAGTAATATGAAATAGTGTTATGATGATGATATAGAGGCGTACGTGTGCGGCGCACAAACCATCTACGGATTTGTCAAAATCGAATATATTATTTTTCACGCGTACTACTTTTTGTCGGGCCCACGAAACCGTTTATTACGACGACAATGCAACGTTTGAAAGTCCGCTTTCAGCGACGCGCGCCATCGATCTATAGCCCAGAATACAAAATAAATCGTCGTACGATCCATCCGCCACAGCCCGGAACTGTTTCTTCGTCTTCCGTTATTGTTAACGCGCGCGATAGGAATTATTATTATTTTAGACCACCGCTTGCAACCACGTTTTGAAACAACGAACACGCGCTGCAAAAATTGCAATCATAAGCGCGTCGAACTCCACAGTAGAAGAAAAACTGCACCGATTATTGAATTGTTATTAGACAATCCAATGAATAATTATATATTATTATAGCAATAAGACCAGATCAAAAACTGGTATGAATTCTCCTACTGTACAGTTGTTTTATGTATATCGGTAGAAGAAGGAGATACAATTGCTCGAGTTACAAGTTTTTGAAGTAACCAACTGTCTGTTGTTGGCGACTATAACACTTTAAACAAATATTAAAATTAAAAATAATTGTTAAAAAATACACGTCTTTATTGATGAGAGAATTAAAAATCCACCCGAAAATATCAGGTTATGAAAAGTTTGAATGGGAATTCGATTTTGAAAATTATTAATCAAAAATGTGCGAATTTAAACCGCAAGAACGTGTACCTACATCAACATTTTCTGATATAATAACAATAAACTAATAATGATCAAAAAATTTCACTTTCGTAAAATAAATATTTGCCTTATATACGAGTACGTTTCAAACTATTTATAAAATTATTGTCTGAGTTATACACATAACAATGGTTTTATAAAAAAAGATAACCAATCTAAGTCAAGTATTTTTAAAAGCAAAAAACATTTTGGTAGATAACGAAAAACGACCGATCACATTTTGTCTCGCGATATCACTCCGAAGGATTACGATTTTCACTAATAAAAATAATTTGGACCCAACTTCTAAAATCAATTCAAAAAATTTGTGCTCGGTTTAGAGCGTTTAGACATTAAATTTTAAATTCTCGAAAAACAAGAACAGAGTTCACAATATCATTGACCTACACGACGCACAAGTCTTACATGAAGCTACCCTCAGTGCTATGCTGCTGTAATCGCCAGTCCGAATTTACAATCTATTACTGTCTTCTTCGAAGACTTTTTGACAAGATCAACGCCGAAAGTATTTTGGAACCAGATTTTTTAAAGCTCTCGAAGTAATGTAATTTCGGGTAGGTATTTACGGAAAAATGCGGTTAACGAGAAGAATAAAATACGTAAAGTAAATGTTTGTACATTCAGTTCCAGGTAACAGACGACGTCGATCGGTCCGTGCTCGTGTTAACGAATCTTCTCAGAATCGTTTTTTGAACGCAATACGTCTAATAATCTATCATTGCTTTCAAATACGCGGACACCGGCTCCACTGCCCCACTAAACTAAACGCCTGTTATTATACACATTATCACATTCCTACGCATTCGTACCTACATCACACGTTAAACGCATACCTATATAAATTACCGAGCATCTCTATTTCAACGAGTTATTTTAATTGGCATTATTTATATACATATTAGTATATTACCTATGTACTATACTTATAGGTTATAAAGCTATAATCGTATTATTGTGTTAGACATGTAGCCCATGCAGGTATGCTATTGCATAATATTGGTTATTGGTTTAATACGTAGGTACTTCAGTATTCGTAAACGACGTAAACATAATAATTGCACTTCGATTAAATCGAGCGACGAACGTACATAATATACAGGAAGTGTCTGCAGTAGTCTATCCGCAATAACTACGGCCCGCGAATAATCTAAAAGTTAACTATTCATAATATATTATTTCCTTGTATACATTTTTATGAAGAATAAAATAAATATCATTACATTCAATATTAAACCAAACTGGGTATCTACAAAAAAAAGGGTACACTTCTTTAAGTCCTGAGAAAATTCATTGGGCATACACTAAATATTATAATGTTACAACAATTGTTAAAAAGATGCACTTATTTATATTATATTCATTATATTTCTATACTTTCTATACATAACTAGAAAGTATAAATGCGATTACTGTAATTATATCGTTTTTCGCTCGGGACCGCTGTTTTTAATATTTTTATGGTGTCTTTTGAGTAAAGATGATTGAAAACTCCCCATGCAGTAAATTATGGGTATATAAAGATGCATGCACCACCGTCGTTAAAATATATCAATTGCAAGACGCGCTTACCAGTGGGAAATCCTAAGTGCCACCCCCTTGCATTTTTTTATCTATTGATTTTTCATAATTTATTGTTAAAATAAAAATTTATGATATTGCCGAAGGCCCATTACCGCGCGATATGAATAATTCCTTATCGAATTATAATCATATTATAGATTAATCAGTTCTGCATAATATGTCAATATGAATTATTTACTCAATAATGATTGACATTTCCACAAACTACAACACAATAATGTCAAATGTCAATAATATGTTATAATATATGACTTTTAATAGAAATATTAGAAACTTCTACACATATAGTTTATAATACGTAAAAATATAATGCTATTTATTTAATTTTAATTTTTTTTTAAAGCGTATAATTAGATGTAATCTCAAAGTTTTAAAGATATTCAATACAAATAATTCATTAAAATTTAAATCAATTATCTCTGTTAATTAATTAATGTAGTATCATGCCATTTTTGTGCGCAGTATTGACTAGCGTCAAACAAATTATATACGTGAAAATATGAGTATCGATGTTTTATTGTACGTTTATGATCATATCCTAAAATTACTCCCTGGATCAGTGACTGATCAATTTTAATGTATAATCAAATTTTCTATTTAAAAAATGTAAATATAAAATTTAAGTTAATGAAAATTTGAAGCATTAATAATAAAATACATGAGTATAGCTAGAATTTCAATCAGGGAAGGCACTTGCCCCCCTGCCTCACTCTCACTACGCCCGTGATAAAATAATAAATAATTCAAAAAAATTATAATACGTAAGATGCTAGTCATCATTGATTGAAATACATTTATCAAGTAATCTAACATTGCTTGATATTTAATGTGTACTCCACTTCTATTACTAAATATTTTACACATAGATTATATAAATTTTGAAATTAAAAAATCAATACATACTTGAAAAAGCTATAGTTTATTAAATTTAAAATATAAAAATTATATCATGGAATCTAAGTACAATATTTTAACAAAATTATAAAAAGTCAGGTATATAATAAAAATGGAATTATTAAGATAAATAAATAACTTAGATACAGAACTAATTTTATAAAATTCTTAACGTTTTTAAAATAAACAAACACCCATTTTAAAATAACTGAAAACATATAAACTTATTATATATAATTCAAAATGAAATCAAACTCAGTTTGAAAGAATGGATAACAAAGATTTAAAAAATTTTGATTGCCTATTAAGAATGTTCATGTTAACTGTAATAAGTACATTTAATTACTAACAAATTTATGCTCTAGATACATTTAGAACATAATTATAAATTTAGCAATCCATTACAAACATTCTAGTGATTAAACATTTAATTAGTTAAGTATTCTTTTAAATTAGTCTTTTATAGCTGGAACACAAATAAGTATGGTTTTTAATTAGAATGAAAACCACAAACAACTTGTTAATATAAGAAATGTAATTTTTGACATTATACTTATTTTTATTATTTTTGGCATTACATTTTATACAGTTAATGTATAGCAAAATTAATAAAAATAAAAGTAAAAGTAAAAAAAAATATAATAACTAACTAAACCAAGTACCCTATATGTCCATCACCGTCTATAAAATGTCAAATAATTGATGTAACACAGTATAAATTATATTTATTCTGTGGATGTAGTAAAAATATGGGGTAGGTTCAGATAGATAATAATTAACAAGTCTTATGAACTTAAATAACCTTGAAAAATAAATCACTAATTAGTTTAAAGATATTGTAGTATTGTATAATTAGCCAATAATAATAATAATTATAATAATAAATAAATAAATAAATAAATAAAAATCAAACAACAAATACAGATACACAAAGAAGAAATTGATCAATGTATTGATTGGTAACACAGTATTAAAATTATTTGGATGAATGATTAACTACAAGAACTATTATCAGCATATTTTACAATAATTGAAAATTAACTTACACAATACTAGTATAATTCCAATTTTATTTTTTCTAATTGGTTTTCCATTTGTTTGATGACTGCCAACTCCTTAGCTTCTTTTTTTAAATTTCTAGCTTCAAACTCAAGTCTATAAGATTAAAGCAATATAATATTAATGGAAAAAAATAATTTTAAATATAAAATATAACCTTAATATTAGAATTCATGATTTTGAAACAAACATAAAATTACACATACAAGTCTATTAGAAATTAAAAAAAAATTTCTAATTGTAACTTCATTTACTAAAAAAAAAATTCTGTAAATAATTATAATTTAATAATTTGTTTACAAAACAATTATTGATACTCATCAGTTTAACCCATTAAAAATTAATATTTGTATAATTTTTTCTTGAGGCATAACACAGGCCATGTTAATTGACAAGTTCATCACAAGATATTTTTAAGACATTGTCATACACAAATATCCTTCTTTTATGAGGTGAGATTAACACTTGTCTTATTATTAAAAAAAAATATATTATTTATTTCATTTAATTTCCCAATTATGATTTTACAATTCGATCTTATACATTTTTGAATAGTATAAATTAAAAACTAAAACTTTTCTTAAACACTTTAGTTTGTGAATAACAGTTGAGCTTAATTTCTTAAAAGTTCACAGCTCTAGTGGTATAGTTACACATAAAATCGCTCTAAGACAAAATATTTATTTTCGCCCTTAAAATAATAGAAGTTGTACTTTTATTCAATAAAACCTCCAAAAATTATATACACCCTGAAGCAAATGCCTCTATTTCCCCTACGATAGCCACACTACAAAACAGCTTTTAATAAATAAATAAATAAAAATACTATGGTTAACATGACAAATTTAAACACTAATCAAGCTTTAATTACATATTTTCAGTATTGCAGATATTAATTATTAGTAATCCATTGAGTAGTAAAATATTTTATTACCTTATAATATGAAAAATATGCAGACTTTAGAACAGTAATTATGTATAATGTATATTTAATATAAACACACATAACTCTAGGATTAGACATCAGAAATTTAAATTCATTTAAATATTTGTAATAACTAATGGTAAAATAGATTATAGATTTTATTATTATATCTCAGACTATCATTAAATTTATTTAAAATAACTACAAACAAAAAAGTTTCTCAATACAAAACTCATTTTTTTTTTTTTTATTATTACAACAAGGCTAGATCTTAAATGATTATATTTACTCAATTTTGGTGAACAATAAATTTATTTTATTGAAAATTAAATATATATTTACAAAACAAAATGTTTTTACTTAAATAAATAAGTTTATTATTTTATTTTATGTGAAAAGTCAATGCTAAAGGTCGATTTAAATTTTTTTAAATATTTACTCAATTAATATATTAAATTTGCTAATTTTGTTTCAGTTAAAATATAATAATATATTTAATATTCAAAGTATAACTTTAATTTATTATAAAGTTATATTAAGTATTGTGCAGCGATACATAAAATTGCTACAATTAATTATTAACATAATTTAACATAAATTTTTTATCACATTTAGTTTGATGTATTTGTGGTAACCTCAATAACTATAAAAATCTTTAACCTAGTATAAAAAGAAATGTGATTTTTAATTATTTATGCTGTAACATGATTCAATAACATATTACATAAACATAAAAATAAAAAATGCAAAAAATTGGATATAGATTAAAACAATTTCAAATTTTTAAGAATTTTTTTTGATAGCAAAATATTTTTCTTAAAAACATTGATTATTTCATACAAAGTGACTCTTTTAAAGGTAAACTAATTTTATTTAAAGGTCTAAACGTATTTAGTTTTATTTTTTTTTTATTTTAAGTCATTACATCATTATTTACTTTTTTAAATAACAGTATGCATTTTAGATTTCAAATTCTGTAACAGAATATTGTTTGAAAATTTCAATTCATGCTGATTTTCAAATGAGTAATTAATTAGTTATTACTTTATAAATATTTAAATTTTAAATGAGGAGTAGTAAAATAAAGAACGTTTACTATTAAACAAAGTGAAAATTAAAAAAAAAAATGTTATGATAATAAAAAAGTACAACAATTTTGTAACAATTTTAAATTTAAGAATTTAAGATTAAATATATTATAGTATATACTTACGAAATAACATTCAAACTATTTAACTAAGCTAATGATTATCTTTAAAATAATCACTTTGTATTTCAGAAACACATACTAAACAAAACCAATAATTAATTATTATGAACCCTAGAAAAATAAAACTGAACAGTTACAAAACAGATATACTGATTTTATATTAATATGAAATGTTTTAAGCTTTTGTAATTTTTATTATTAATTTTTAATTTTTAATCAAATCTGAAAACAATTTATTTAGACTTAAAAATCAACAATTGATTATGTTTTATTTTAATGATAAGTGTAGATATTCTAAATCGTTTACATCAGTAAAATTAATCATTATCAGTTAAGAAATATAAAGCATAGTAACTCAAAATAAAATTTTGTCTCTAATTTTTCAATCAAAATACTCATTTTGTATACAACTTTCAGCAGTTACAGCATGCAAAAATTAAAAATCCCATATATTATTATACTCTACTAAAGACAAAAATCATTAGAATTTTTAGTACACTACAAGTATCACCTCTACACAGCTAAGAAAAGTTTAACAGTGAAATATATGTGTATACTAGGAATATATTATAATACTACAAAATGTTACTATTTAATGTAATTTTGTTTTACACCTAAAACTATAGAAATATTGTAGTATTATTAATCATTTTTTTTTTTTTTTATTACCTATTAATTATAATGCGATCAACAATCTTTTCTGTTGTCATGTTATTTTCTGAATCAACTATCACAAATTTATTCATCAATTTTGGAACCGCATATGGGTCTTCACCGTTTATGTCCATTTTCACTGGTGTTTTACCATGGCACACAACATCAACATGAAAATGTTTCATTAAATCAGCTGTTACACTGTACGGTGCTCCAATAACAACTTCAGATACATACTGAAAAATTAAAAGTAAAATGATAGACCCATTTCAATAAATTATTAAGAAGAATATTACTTTGCAGGCTAAAACACTCAAAACTCGTTCATGTAAATTCATAATTGGATAATTTGAACCTTTGTATTGATTAACCACTGGATCAGTGTGCAAGCCAACAATAAGAAAATTACCATGCTGATGGGCTTTTTCTAAAAAATCCAAATGACCAACATGAAATATGTCGAAAGCACCAGCAACGTATACTACTTTATCAGTGGGCTGAAATGTATAACAGTGATGAATTAATATTACAACGTACATAAAATATAATAATAAATTTCTATTACCTTAGGTTCTACGCCTTCACTGAATTGAATTATTTTTTTAGTAGTGGGTAAAAATTGTGAACAACCAGTCCATGGACTTCTGGCAGCCTTATCTTGACCCATCACTGAGGAATGCTCTTTTTCCACTTCATATTCTTTATCACCCTTGTAGAAATGTTGTCTTGTCATTAACAACATACGACTAACTACATCTGTAGTTGAAATTCCTTCAGTTCGTTTTACTTCCCTAGAAATGTATAGTCATTTAATAATAGTTATAATTTTCAATCATCATATTATATCTATATCATATATAGTTTACTTGACATACTTGTATCTGTTGGCTTTTTTAACAAGATGATATGTGTCAACTCCATCTGCTGTAACTGTTATATCATCTACAAAATACATACATAAATCAAAAAAAAAAAAAATTATGTATTTAGAATAAATTAAAATGTCTACCTCCGTGAACACAAAAGTCACAATTATGCTGATCCAAAGTTTCAAGATTTGTAACGTAAGGAGCACCTTCTACTACCTCATCAACCCATTTAATAGCTCTCACCATTTTAGACCTAAAAATAGTTTCATTAAAATAGATAAAATTCTTAAATATTAATGTTAAGTCAATATTTATAACATTTAATTAATTCAAGTACATAATAGTATCATATTAAAATGTTACCCTCTTTACATGATGGTACATAATATCTGTTTCTATTTCATCTTTTACTTCATTGTTATTTTTTATATTATTTGTAGGCTATGCCAGGTTTTAATTCAAGTTAAAAAAACATTTTGTATATTTTTGATAAATTTATAAAGCAATCAGTCACAAATTCATATAATAATTAGTGTACATTGAATAAATTATTTATATGAATTAAATCCTTTTTAAATACTAATATTTTTATAAAAATTCAAATGTGATTTTATGGCACTACGGTTTTCTAACAATGACTCACTATTTATTTAAACAATACCAAATAGTTAGAAACAAATTAAGTAACTATTAATCATTAGGATATTTTGTTATCTAGTAATTTATTACTTTAGATATAAAAATTAGGCAAGTTGCAACTCATGTTATGGAGTAAAAGAACACATGACTCAACCAAAAAAATTACATGAAAAATTATTATACTTTTATAATCAATATTATTTTTTTATTATGTACATAGTTTATACTGCAAACATAAAAAACTAATATAAAAATACAAAAATATTTTATTAACACAAAAATATGACAACTTAACAGAGAGAAAATTTAAGAGATGAAGTTTTTAAATTGATACAACCTATTATTACTTTTACAAATTTATTTATAGAAGTATTTGGAACTAACCCCTTTAATAGTTAAAAATGTGGATGAAATACATAGTTGACTTAATACATAATAATATAAAAATAATAAAATAACATACGAAACAAAAACAATAATAAGGATTTGACTCACATAATTATGATAAAAAAAATGAGCTTATAATTGACCATTTTATTACATAAAATAATAAATTTTCATCAACATGATTGACTCCAATTTAAAAGTATCACAAGGTATATATTAAAAAAAAATTAAGATGGTGGAGACTATCTATATTAGCAAGTTTAAACGCTCTAGTTAAAAAGGAATCATTACCATTTTAAGACTAAAAATATTGGATAACAAGAAAATTGTGGTTTCAAGAATAATAGGGGAAAAGTCCATTTGAGCTAAAAAAACAGTGACATAACATAATAGATACATGATAAATTAGTGATTACTGATTAGCTACCTCTCTTGTTCTGTGAAAACAGGCGGACCTTTGTGCTTGGCAATTTCATCATCGGTGTGTATGCCTACGACCAGATAATGTCCCAATGCTTTGGCCTGTCGCAACGAGTTTGCGTGACCAAAGTGTACCATGTCGAAACTGTGTGACAAACGGAAAACCGGAAACAAAATCATTAATATGATCACTTCCGCAAAACAAAACGAAACGCGACCCAAGTGTACTCACCATCCATCGCACCAAACCCTCACGGGTCTATTTTCCACTTGTTCGCTCATCTTTCCAAGTACGAACACCCAAAGCTTCTAGATCAAATGGAGACGATGACCTGACTTTACTAATTATAAACTGCGACGTGAATAACGTGTATCAACTGCGACGTGAATACCGTGTGTCCGTGTATCAACTGCGACGCCTTGCGTCGACGTGTCTTGTAGTTTTATATGCGCGTCGGAATGTTAACGACGGCAACGAATGTCGCAACGGTAATAACAGATTCCTGTGCGTGGCACAGAACTGTAATTTATTCGTTCACTGCTCCACCGTAAACGATGCGAGCCAAATCGATGTAAAATGCGTCGAGTTCTAATGCTATCAATGTTATAATTTTATTGCGATTTGCACAATTTTGAAACGCTTATCACAAACAGTGTTCAGCCAGTTCGAAATGATAATGCAATCAAACGTTCATATTCCGTATCACGTCGCCGCCCGGTATTTTATTTTATCATCGTAGATAAAAGTAAAGATTTTTTTCCCTCCTTATTTGAAATAAATGATCTGTACTTATGAATTATATAGTAAAACGAATAATGTAACATTTGCTGAAATTGGGGGGCCTAGCCCTCACAAAAATCGTTCGAACCCCAGTTATTATCTTACTAAGAGCAAATAAATAATAATTGTAGATAGATACCTAATTTTATTTTCCTATATAAATATTATCCAAAATGTCAATAAAAAAGTAGATAGGTATTTATATATGTACTAGAAAATAGGAATGTATAATATTTTCCTTGGTAAACATTTTGTTTGAAAAAATACTTTACATTTTTTAAGTGGTGTCTGAACAGCAACCGGAATGTACTCGTAAATATTATAAATTATAACAAATAATACACAATACTTCTTTTTGATTTTTTTAAATTGTTGTATGAACAACTTTGATGGGACATTGTATCCGTCACGTTTTAAAATTTTTAATAAGTTATGATCATATCTAAAATATTTATTAGTTTTTTACTACAGGAATAATTAGTACAACAATTAGTAGGTACCTAAATAAAAAAATATGTATACCAAAATAAATTTAATTTACTCAATAATATATTTTAAGGCTACTTTAAACTTAATGCATATTGCATACTAAACATGTGAACTAAGCAATTACACGAATTCAAAGTAAATAAAGATTACTTTCTATTTTAATATTCTGACCAAAAACTAATTAATTTATTATTATATTAATATTTTAATTTTTCGAAAACTGAAATCGTGATTTTTTCTGGTTGCAAAAATTACTCTTGTGACTTTATTATACTTTCAGGGGTCGCAAGGGCAACCTAGTGTGACCCTCAATTTACGCCACTGCCTAATTTGTTCCCCAGCTATTGAGGAGAGCACTAATTTTAATTTGTATTGAAGTTCACAGAATCAGAAACATTATCATGCATACAAATGTTCACGGGTTCTGCTAAAGAACACCCTAATCAAATTATGTAGGTAACCTACCTAATAATATATAACAATGTCTAACAAGAGTAACAAGGTTGACCAAGTTATGCTATAGGTATATAATATATACAGCATATATCTAGAATTTGATATCTTGATACCAACTATTGTTTTATTTTTATAAAACAATTTTATGTGAGTACAATCTGTACAATGTAATACCACAGATTAAATATTAATAAAAAAATATATATATGTAAATATAAATATAAAAAAAAAATTAAAAAAAAAATAATAAAAAGGTAAAAAAATATAATATAATATATTTTTTTTTTAATAAAAATATATTATTAAATATTAATATTATATATTATTTAATCTGTGGTAATATTTACCATTAAGTATTCAATTGAAATGTATTTACATAGATAATAGGGGTTTAAGAAAATTTAAAAAATGGAGATACCTAATTATTGCACCGAAATGACATTTTTTTTCCATATTTTGACTTGACAACAATTATTAAAGGTCAAAATATAATCACAAATAATACAAATCAGTACAACTTGAGAACTATATATTAGTATTATAATTTATATATAGTATATATACTCAAACTCAATGGTATTATAAACTATATTTTACAACACAGTATACCTAGATTATAGAGAAAAACATTTTCTTAGCTTATATTGTATAGTAATAAATCAATTAAAAATATGAAGATACCAGGTTATTGCACTGAACACAGTTAGGTGCCAGACATCTTCATTTGTATATTAGCTTATTTAATGAATGGATATACCCGGTTATTGCATCTAAATGTTACAAAACTATTCTTTATCAGAAAATGCATTTTGATATATGAAATAACCTATGCATTTTGAAAAAAGTGGTTATCTGGTTCTTGCAGCAGACCCTTCATTGAATAAATCAATTCATAAATTCATAACCATAAGCAATTATTCAACTATTTATTGATGTTTTTTGCAACAACCCTATAAACAGTATTTTAAGCATTTCAGAAAAACCTACATAAAAAATTTGGAAAAAATAAAGACATCTTACTATACATTATGAAAAAGAATTAACAATAATTATGAAAACATATTCTTATATTTGTAAGAACTCAAATTACTAATTTAAAATTTAGATGCCATCTCAATTTCTGTAATAACTCTATTTTGGCTATACTATCCTACAGTTCTTGCTCAATGGAAACTCCACTCCCATTCTATCAGTCTCAAATTTTATGACTTCAATTTATTTGTACAGATATATCCAAAACTATAAATGACACAGGTTGTAGATTCACCTCTGGAGTCTGGAGCTATTAAAATATTCTAAAAACTCTCTACTGAAGCCAGTATCCTTACAGCAAAAATTGAAGCCATCAAAAAGGTAATTATTTATATCAAAGTTGTATGGGCGTCCCCAGGGGGGGGGGGCAAGACAGGGCACTTACCTCCCTTTCTTGGATAGAATAATAATGTTTTATATATAAAATGTTTAATAATAATAACAAAACATAATGCACTATAAATAATGTACTCTTCATTTATTTTTCAAATTAATTTTGACCCTCTAGGAAAATGTCTGGGGATACCCAAGCAAATCTATCTCCATTAAAAGTACTTGTTATAAGTGACTATCTCGGCACTGAAGAAAACCTATTTAGATGTTATTTATAATTTTTACAATTCTATTAAACTTATAAATTTATAGTTTATTATTAATTTATATGTAAATATGTAAGTCTACTTTTAAAGCCCCAAAAATTGTATTTACTATTATTTATTTAAGAAAATATGTAAAAATGTATACACAAATAACTTCAGTTGTCAAAGCCTTAAGTCTTAAAAAAAATGTATAAATTGATTAAATCAGTAAGAGATACTTAATGAATTGTATGATTTATAAACTAATGTTTAAGGCAATAAGATATTAAACAAATGAAAATAGTAATAGATTAATAATAAAATATTGAGCTTTATTATTATTTTTTTTTTTTTTTTACAATAATATTAAACAAAACTCAAAATAACTTGAAGAGCCATGTACAAGGTTGTTCCATATCCAATGAACCAAGATAAACCTCTTGCTGGTTGTGGTATAACAATCACAGCATAAACTATTGTATGAATTATTCTACTTGCTACAAACAATCTTATTAAATTAGTAGCAATATGTAAATCTGGATTGGTTAATAAGTAACCAAAACATACAATTATAAAGAATGGAATATTTTCTAAATCGTTGAGATGAGCCCTAAAAAATAATTATTTCAATTAATTAAACATATATGTTGATCAAATTATTAACATATATTAGTAGTAGATACATAAAATTTAAAATAATATACCTTCTGACTCTTTCAATATCAGGATCATCATACTTCACTTTTGATTTTGAATTCATCTTTGCATCTTCAGGGTTAGCAAATATCTATCAAACAAAATAATTAGTAATTTGTATTCATTGTTACATTTAACGATTTAACTATTACCTATTGGCTATTTTAAAAATATTAATCAAATGATATCTATAAAAAAAATAATATACATTTTTTTTTTTTTATATATACATGGTAACTACACATTTTTTTTTATTAAAAAAATGTGCATAATGTGAATGAAATCATGTAATAACTAATTAATACTAAATAAATAATTTTTAAGATCACATTAATTTAGTTATAAAATGCATACATTATTTTAACTATGTTTAAAATATTTTAGATAAATTAAAAATACAAATATTTATGGATCTAAATATGTTTTAGTCATCATAAAAATTAACTCTAAACAAAATTGTTTTATAAGCTAAATAAAATAATAAATATAATAGTCAAACTTTATTAGTATTTTGAAATACGTCTATAAGAAAGTAGTTCGTAGTTACAATAGTTACATTATATTTGAAGGAGAAGTATGAAAAATTTTTAATTTTCTTTTTATACATTGCTATAATAGTAGTCTGACATTATAATTTCAAAGTTCATAATACATGTTATTATGTAAATATTAAAATTATCATTTTAAGCATTCACCAATGACTATGTCTACCACATAAGATTTAAATTAACTCTAAATTTTAATGGTACAAAATGTAGGTAAAAGATATAACTAATAAAAATTTTCTTTCAACATGTTTCTAAATTATATTTCATATAACAAAATAATTTATGTAATTAACACTAATAACTATTATTTCTTAAGAAATCTATTTTTTACATTCAATTATTTTACAGACTAGCGTTAAAATTTGAATATTAACTGTAAAAAAATAGTTAATATTTTTAAATAAATAGTAAATTATATTTTAGTGTATATAGGTACTATAAATCTGAAAAAGTATTTGAATTTAATTATTTTTGACAAAAAGCATTCACCTTTAATATGCTTGGGAAATCTAAGTACAAATTATTATAATATTATTGTATTCTCTACATAAGTTTATGAACTGATTGATCAAGCAATTTATATTGATAAAATATTTCAGTACCTAGGTAATAAGTAACAAAAAAAGTAAATAATATACTTATCTATTACTTTGGTGTTAACTTTACCTATAAATACAATTGTTTATAATCTAGGTATAATTATTAGTATTAATATTAAGTATAACTGGTATTATATTACAATGGTAAGTTTATTTATTTATTATATACCCAGTAATAATTAATATTATTGAGAGAATATAAATAATTGATGAGCTGCGTACATCCATCACTACCACCAAATGAGTGCAAACATTAGCACATAGCGGTACTTAGTAAAAAAATTACACTTGAATTGTTATAACTTATAAAGTTATAAGTTATTAATACCCATTACTTATGTATCATGTATTATAGTATGATTTATTATTTACATAATATTATTTCTATTACCATTTTCCTGAACCGTTGTTTAGCCGTTAGTGGGGCCATCGCTAATACTTTCAGTACTAATACGGCCGTGTAAAATACATACGTTCTGAACAAACCTTCGTCGATTTCCAATGAAATCGTCATAATGAAATGTGTACGGTATGAGAGGAAATAAACGAAAAACAAAGTAAACAATCGTATGAGATGCGCTAACGTGAACAACTCACAACTAACTAACGAATGTTTAGTCGTATTTCATAGGAACTTCGAAGTTTCTCGTAAAATGGTCACTTCTTATTTCAAATGTTTTGAGTGTTTCGAATGCTTCGATAGCGGCACACAAACACTATAATATGAATATATGATAATAAGTAGGTATAGTATGTTGTTTATTCCTGTTTCATGACCTTTCTGCGCAGTCGCGCAGACGCTGTCGACCAATAAGCGTTCGACTGATGGAGTACATTTTTTTGTGTACTCGTATTAGACTTCTGTGGTTTGACCGAACCAGACGAACAAGGATACCGAATAATAAAAAACATATATAGTTTATAGTTGAATAGTTACGTAAGTTACATTGATTTTTTAACTTGTCTTTTCCGATCCTAGGTTGCCTGATTGCCGATTGGTTATGTTGTAGTTTGTACTTTACAAATGAGTTATACCATTGTAGATAAATTTATGCTAGATGTTTTATCTTTATGATTTCATCGTCTTCATCGTACTCCAGTACTTGTCTCGCCGACGAAACTGTGGCTGAAAGCCAAAATCTAAAACTTATGTAAAAATAAACAAAATTGTCAACTCTTTACGAGAACAATTTAAAAGCTTAAGAAGACTACATAATATAATTATTGTTTACTAAATAAATTATCGTTTTGCACCTATTGCAAATCATATTTATATTTATTTCTTCCATACAAATCATACAATACAAACTAAATAAGTATTTGTCGTATTGATGATATTTAAAACAATGTTTGATGTATTGTTCATTATACTTCGATGACTAAAACTTTTATAGACATAACTAATTATCATGTTTTAGCATATTTTCGGGGGTCAATAAATAACATTACACATTTAAATATTTCGATAGTTTAACTTAGTTCAACTTTTTATTCTTTAGTCTCCATCGGTTGTAGGTCGTCACAGGACACAATGAGACAACGTCTATCCACTTAAAATACAAACAAATAATTTAGTTTTCATAATACTTAAATTAAATATGTTTTTTACAAATTTTAATGTAATGATGTAATGTATATAATATATTATTAAATATGTTATTTATCATTTTTTTTTTTTTTTTGTCATAGTATTCTTATAATTTTATTTTTTAGTATAGAAATAATAGCGAGTCTACGCACGCCCGTGGACAATCCTGCAGTATAAAAATAATTATAGGGTCATATTAATTTCGGTGTGGTCTCGTCCCTTCATATTTTCTATTAAGTTTTATTTTTAAAAGGATGCTACACCCAAATGCATTGTCTCCGTCTTGTAAACACATAAAACATTGTACGTTCTGAAGAATTCATTTAACTTGTGTAGTTGTGTATTATTAGTATTTCAGTAAATTAAATATACCTATCATAAAATTTAAATGTAAGAATATTATCTAGTGAACCTTATACGTTTCTATTTATTTTTAATTTTAAAGCAAGCTATGACTTACGATATGAACATTTTAAAATTATAAAGTTTTTGTACATTTTAAATGATAGTATAAATTTATAATCTTACATTGTTTATTTGTTAGTTAAACTTTAATTAAATTCTAAATATTATAAATGATACTATAATCAATTGTTAAAAAATGCATTAAATAATTATCATCATTATTATCATTAGATATCATACCTATGTAACAAATAATTAAATATCACAGATGCCCGAAGACATGATCAAAGATCATACAAACAATATACTTTTTATACTTCTTTTAAAAAAAATTAATTGTTTGAATTTATATAAAAAAATAAAAGAATATGACAAAAATATGTAATATTAACACCAGCTAATGACTATTTACTAATACTGTCTCAGTGTTCAATAAATTAAAAAAGACTGTGAAAAGTATAAGTTATAAAAAATTTTAGATTTTGAGTGGAGCGAATACCTATAAAGTGACTTTACAAATATGTTTATTTATTATATTTTTTTTCTATAAAAAACTTTTTGACACTATTTAATTGGTGCCTTCCCAACATTCAGTATTAATCTTATTTAATTATTGGTGCTTTTGAGAAGTAAGTTTTCATTTTTTTTGACATGTTAGATGAATGCGTGCACCAAAAAAAATCGGAGAAGTTTTTTATCTACTGTATCATAGTATAAGTTTCGAGTGACTTCGTCATCGAGAAAGTTATTATAATGGATGGAATAAATCAATGGTAAATTTAATCTAAATTCTGTTTTCTATGATGTCTTTATTTATACTAGTATACTACACTGTTTACAACAAAAAATAATTCTGAGCGGAGATATGGTTTTTCAGTCTACCTATATCTATTTATAAAAAAAAACTACAAAGTAACTCTCTACGATTTAGGTACTTAAATTATATTTAATATAAATTATAATAAGCATGGCTAAATACTTAGGTATGACAGCAACTCTGTGATACGCATGTCATGACGTCAGCCGGCAGCAACTTTAATAAAATTACAGTTGTAACTAGTTTCAAGATTTGGCCGATAAAAATCCTTGCCGGCTGACGTCATATTACCATATAATAAATTAAGATTTTTTTATTATTCCATGAATGCGCTTATACAGGGTCCGGCAAAAAAACCTCCCGTATTTAGAAATTGCGCTGTGTGAGTTGTGGTGGTGGTACAACTATGGAGAGGGTATCGATCGATAGCTGTGTATGTGCCATTTTTAGTAGGCGTAATAATGTGGATCATTGAAGATCGCGCATTTGTCTTAGAGGAGTATATTTGAAATGGTGGTTCTACGATTTCTAGTTAGCTAGCATTTTGCATCCTGTTCCAACTTGACCGACATGATTTTGTTCTGGATAGAAAAACAATGCTCGTTTGGGTGTCCAATTTTAGAGTAACGGGTTCTATACACTGAAGAAAAAAAATGTTTGGCCAACCTTTGACCACAACAACACCGGAAGATGTGTCGGTCAAGTTGGAATAGGATACGAAATGCTCGCTAACTAAAAATTGCAGAACCACCATTACAAATATATTCATCTACGACAAATGCGCGATCTTCAATGATCCACATCATTACGTCTACTAAAAATGGTATTTATACAGCTATTGATCAATACCTTCTCCATAATTGTATCACCACCACAATTCACACAGCGCAATCTTTAAATACGAGAGATTTTTTTGCCGGACCCTGTAGAACGGATTTTAGTAATATTGCTGTCATACCTACCGAAGTATTTAGCCTTGATAATAAGTATGAAGTATAGTAATAATATTTTTATCAATCAAACCTAATAGTCAAAAAATTTACTAAATTTATGAAAGATACCTACTTTTAGCTAATGTCATTACTTAATAGAATATTATAGCCTAATTAGATTCAATAGTAAGTATAATAACAAAATATAATATTATTAACATTTAACAATAGGTATTTATATTTTTATTTTATTATATAAATATACCTATATTTAATTTAATTAGAATTTTTTGTTTATTATGTAAAACGTATACTGACTTATATAACTATTCGTTATTATAATTTATAATCCATGAATAGATGGTAAAATGGTAGATATATTAATATATTATATAGCTTATAATATAACCAAGGTTATATCAAGGTTTTATTACTTAAAACTAATACTACCTATTCAAACATTTAATGAAAACTGTACATGCTAAATAATAATGATTTAGCTATTTTGCATGTACTATATATAATGCTAATAGATTCTAAACTCTTAGTATTATTTTGCATTGCATTCTGGCATTTGATGAATGTTCATGATTATAAAAATCGATTTTTCGTGCAACAATCACTTGGAAATTTTAATAAATTCCTAAATTATTGTTGTATTATAAATAATTAGAAAAACAGCAATTACTGATAGATACCTACTTCAAATTATACTTTTATTGCCATTTTATATTATATTATTTTAGTATACCTATATAGTAGGCATATTTTAAGTATAATTTAAAATTTTAAAAAATGTGGATAAGTGGGTACTACTTTTTGCTGTACATTAAAGTAAATATAAAGTAGTTCACTAACTGTAATGGATGTATTAAATTTTAATTTAATGATATAGGTAGGTACTTTTATATTGATGTATCTAATAAGTATAACCGAATAAATAATATACATTTATTTTTGTTATTAAATTATTATGTAATTATGTTTAATTCTTATTAATTAGGTGTACAAAAATATAGATGTATAGGTATATATGATTCGTCATTATAATAAAGATGAATATATATAGTCATATAGACAAGTTATAAGTTTATAATCATTTTTAAACCAACACAACCAATTAAATACTAAATAAAATCTATAATCGCATAATGTTTATTTGTTTATGCATACAAAATAATATAAATTTTGCATAGGTAATATTTTAATCGACATTATTATTGGCATTATGACATTCGATTACACATCATATTTGAAATGTATATAAATGTATGATATGTATTGTAATTGTGTAGTTACGATATTCAGTAAAACCTAAAGCCAATTTCTAAAGACTCTAAACAATTAATATATGTTTTTAAATATTATATTGTAAATAACTAAAATACTCAATCAAACAGTACTGATACCTCATTCTATAAAAAATAAAAAATAATGAAATATAACAATTATTATAAAATTTATTTATATTTATATAAAATTATAGAATTTTAAACCTATAAAGTTTAGTTTAATATTCAGATACAGTGATTAAAATTGAATTAGTAATCAGAATACAAGATTTTATTTAGGAAGAACTTATGAGTTTTATTTCCCTAAGACCGGCGATGTTACATAATTATGTGTTACCTCAAAACTCAAAAATAGGTATAATAGCTGTAAATTGCCAATTGGTATTTAACAGAACCAATATTTTGTATTATTATGTATTTAATATTTTAATATTAGAGCTAATTAATTTATTATCAAGCCTAAAAGTAATACAATAATTATCTATGTTGAAGGTTGAAGGTAATAATAATATATTTTATCATAATAATAAAAAATATAATGTTGACGTGACGTCCTCTTAGAAGTCCTTTTTTCACATGTTTGACAATATTATCATTAAAATAGTTTGTACTCCACTGATCAATGTTGCATAAATAAAAACACAAAAAATCTTCAACAAATATTTTACATATAAGTATATATTGATTTTA